TTGATTCAATGCATCTTTATGATGAGGTCCTGATTGACCAAAACGGCATTTGGCCCTGCCCCGTGCCGATTTTAGCCAATTGGATTAGATAAAAAACGTCCATTTTGATGATGTCACACCAGCGTGCAACGCTTGAAATAAGGTGAGTTTTAAACTTTTATAGGGGGGCACCGATATGGTGGGTTTAGCACTATAGGGTCAGGAATACATGTTTGTGTTCCTGACCCTATAGTGATCCTTTAAGCAAATTTCATTTTCAGTGTAACTCCTTAGTTTTGCACTCCTCCCTGTCACAGGTGCCTCATTACAGGATCCTATTTAGCCTTGACCCGCAGAGAGTCCCAGGAGGAAGTATTTCCCAAGTAAGTGGATTAATCTCTATCACAGGCAGAGGGGAGGATTTTGTGTGGGAGTGTCTGAGTGTATTGTACATATTGATTGGTTGTACTTCAAAACCCTGTGGGGGGTACTATGTTTGTAGAAAGGGCATAAAAGCAGAGTGTTTGAATAAAAGTTCAGTTCTTCTTCATCCTCAATCTAGAGTCTTGTCTCTTATTGGGGTTAACCGGCTATATCACTACAAGGGATTGCTATGCTCTGCATGCTCCATTGAATATTCACTTCAAGGCTCTTGTAAGAGCTTGTTCCTGGTTTGCTCTCTGAAGGAGTCTACGGTGGTCATGGTGTCTGCTGGAGTGCTTGGAGCCCTCAGGAAGTGCTAGGAGCATCCTTCAATGGAGGTACCCAGTCGGGGTGCCAGGTGATCCATTACAATCTCATAAGAGCAGGCATTAGACTGCTAGAGTAGAACCTGTCAAGAATGGGGTACATTGACGTTGTGGCAGGCTTATGCAATATATGATCATATAATGTAACTAAAACCCCATTATTTTTTGCCTAGGTGAGGTGTTTTTAAATAAAACTATTGCAATCTGTGAGAGTTGAAATAATTGTTCAGTGAATAAGCAAGTGCGCTGGATTGTGTATTTTGTATGTTGTGCATATTTAGGCAGAACACTATGCATAGAATGCATTATATGTCATGTTTAATTGTCTGAGGAAGATATGCCCTTCCAACTGTTCTGCACAATAGTATCTATTATATCAGGGTTAGAGGTCATATTGAAAGACTGAAATGACAATTATGGCATACAGTTAGGTAGAGTAAGACAAATTGACACATGGATTAGAAAAACAACATCTGGACAAAGAAATTGATAGATTGTGTGAAATCTACCTAAGGAACAGAACATATAAAAAGAAAAACCTGAAGCCTTCATAAGCTTTCAAACTCAGAATAAAATGAATATTTCTCTGTCATAGTACCTGTTTTAACCTTATGTAACCTTATGTTATAAAATGCCAGACATGTAAGCTAAATCAAAGCCTAAATGTGGTAAAAAAAAAAAAAAGAAAGAAAGGGGGGCATATGGACTAAATGTCTGTTCTCCATATCCACTAAGGCCCAGAAAGGCTTTTTCTTTTTTTTTTTTTTACCACATTTATGCTTTGATTTAGCTTGCATGGGGGGAGCATGGACCACTTGACTCCCATTCTTTTACCTACATTTAGGTTGTTTACATATGGATTTGCTCTCCCTCGATACTCCAGTTCTGTCCTGGCTTTGCACCTATCTGATAAGTAGATACCATCCACCTTCTCACCTTTACCTCTACTTTTACGTCCTTGTTTCTACCCCAGAGACGTTACATGTGTAGTGGATTTTTTTTCCCCCAGTAGTTATGATCTAGATATTAATAAAGTTTATTTATCTTCTCTTTTAGATTTTACAGTCTGAGCTCTCTTTCCCACTACCCACCTTCTAATTCCAGTGGGTGAGCAGTTGGGATCCTGGAAAATTTAAACGATACTTACCGTAATTTTCTTTCCCTGGCTAATCATGGCAGCATTACTTATGGGTAGCTCCGCCCTCAGGACAGGACAGGAAACAGAATTCAAATGAGACCAAGTGTATAAAGGGTCCCTCCTCCCTTCACACACCAGTCCAGTATAAAGTCCAAAAAACACTAGGGAGGGAACATGATGCTGCCATGATAAATAGCCAGGTGTCAGGATTCCTCCCTATTCTCTCAGAATTCCTGTTTGATTTCAGCCAAATAGGTACTACCCATATGACTTCCGGGTTTCACCAATCTCTCTCCCGTTCCCTTCAAAAGGAAGCCACGACTGCTTCCAAATTGCTCAATCAAAGTTTCCTGTGTTTGATACTCTCGCATATTTGCTACCTTATTGCCTACTTACCGACGGAGCTTCTAATTGATTTCCTGTGTACCGAACCTCTTGAATTGATCCTGACTACACTCTACTCTCACCTCCCTGACTTGGAACAAGACTTCTCTTCTGATTCCTACCTTTCTCCACATACCTCAAGGAACCATAATCCACTCTATCCTGGTGTTTTAGGAGAATTCTCAAGAAGCCACGCACAGAGAGTCCGGACACAGGTCAGTTCAGGAAGCAACGGTCTTTATTCTCACTGATCGGGTCTCAGCTGAACCCATGTTTATATGTCTGAGCACTGAGCACATGGAGTACAGGCATTTATAGCTATTCATAACCCATCTGTACCCTTACACCAATCAACAAACAGTATTTACAGCATTACCTTATATGGATAGGTAGGATGGCACTAGGAGAATGAAATGTGTTTTTTCAAATGCAGCAGATGCTCAGTACATTGATGACAGTATCTTAGCTACATATAACTAATAGATACCTGTACTTGTATGTGCCACATGGAGATATTGGGCCTACTAAATTTTGGGAAATCCCATCACACTAGAAGGACTCATGCTCATCACTCAATGCAAGATAAGTTCTCCTCTTATTGGCATTAACAATAGGTTCTTTACAGAAGTTATTTGGAAAGGATAAGGAATTACTAAGTCTGCTTCTGTGATTTTATTTGCATATTCTAATTGAAAGTCTCATAAGCACTCACTCTTCAATTGTCTTATTCAATATTATTTGGAGTCTAAAGGACTATAACTACTGTAAAACCAGAATCTACCTAAGTACCAGATTTTGTTGTCTTTTTCCAAAACGACTGTATTGTTTCACACAACAGGAATCAACTCACCTGCTCTGTCAAACGTTATATTGAAGTCTATGGACTGTATTGCTAATTAAGCATTTCTTTATTTTTTTTAATTTTTTTTTTTTAATTCTTTATTTTTATTGTGCAGGTGAGTACATGGTGTCAACGAACACCACAACAGCGTATAACAAGATCAATACATGTTAGACAGTGGCATGAGAATATGCACATTTTTCTATATTTTTTATAACTAAACAGTTATAGTATCTAAGTTAAAGTAGAGGAGACAAATAATAATGACAATCGACAATTAGAGCTTAACAATGCTAAATTAGCCGTATTAATGCAGCTAGCACTTTATGGCAGGTTACATACCAGCTAAATCATTTCAATAGTCGCTCAAATAGCTGCTATATGCTTACAAGTCAGGTTTTTATCTTGGCTTGTTTTGCCGTATATTGTGGCATGGTTTGTCGGCAGGGTTATGTGAAGCATAAAACTATTAACTACTAACATGCCGGGCTAAACAATGCAAGAAGAGTTTAGTTGTTCGCGTTTCAATATGGGCACCTACTGCAGGGTGTGTGTTCAAAGGTTATCGCTAGCGGTGACCATGGCTTGTGAGGTGCTTAGAGAAGTGGCCAGAATGTTAGGTGGAGATAAATATAGGTTAAACACAACATGTCTAAATTACCGATTAAAAGAGAGGTACTTCACTATACAAACTCATAGACATGATATGGTTGACGCTTAAAGTATAATGTGTAGGTAGCGTGATGAGAGATCATAGCAGTAGACATAAAAGAAAATATAACATTTGCACGTCATTAAGCATTACTGTTTGCTTGTAGAGCACTGTGGTTCGGAGTTGTGTGTGTTTATGCTTTCTGCTCTCCATGGTTGTCAGTCCTGGACACCTAGTTTAACAGGCTTAAACTGAGGGATTATGGGCCTGGTGCTGACCTGTCCAGAGACTTTGTGTAGAGAGTCTCTATTAGCCGATGCCGTCTCTTGTGAAACAGTGAGCATTGGTTGGTGTGGTGTTGAAGGCTGCAGCAGCGGTGGGCAGTGTGAAGATATCCTTCCAGCCCCAGGCTGTTATGTAGGCCTGCATCTCGGTGCCACAAACTCTGCAACTACTGGAGCCTGAGTTTCTTCCCCTGACGGGGGCAATGGAGGGCCTGATGGGCTTTGGCCGCTTGCGGCGATAAAGCCTCCTTGCGTGTGGGCGATGCGTCCGGGTCTTCTCCCTTTTGGCCTTCAGCCCGGGTGGGCTCTGTGGTTTGGGGGTGTGTGGGTCACCTGTCGCTGTGCCCAAGGGTACACTTCCCTGTCCCCGCCGCCAGCTGCCTCTCTTACCTGCCATCCGTGCAGGTTTCTGAATGATTTGTGCTGCTCTCATGCGGTCTCTGAGTTGTGCCCAGAAGCGGCTGAATATTGCGTTCAGGCGCTGTGCGGTGTCTTGTAGGATCATCGTATGCTGTAGCTGATTCAGTGCAGGCAGCGTGGTGACGGCCGCCATCTTGGGGGAGCCGTGTGGGCGCCAGCACTGCTTTATCTTCTTTTCGCGTCTCCGGGTAGCTGGTGTCTCCGAACACACTGTGCGGACCGGGATGACCCCCGCCGGTCCAGAGGGGGGGGGGTAGGAGGTGAGTAGCGTGGAGGTTCTATGTGCAGGGTCGCCTGCGAGGAGAGCGGCCGCCTCTCCCCTACAGGGTCTCGAGTAGGCCTCTTGGTGCTGGTGCCGGTTCCCGGTAAGTAGCGGGTTAATGACTGGTATCAATCGTTTTGTCCGGGTGTCCCCGACTATGCTGTCACTCTCCAGGTGCTGTGCGTGCAGTTTTATTGGGGTCTTTGCCCCGAATCGTGCCATTATGCTCAGGAGCTCTGTTTCAGCACGTCCATGCAGCCTGGAAGCCAGGCTCCACCCCTCTTCTTTATTTTTTTATTTTTTTATTTATTTTTTTAAATTCTTTATTTTTCTTTGTGCATGGAGTAACAAATCATTTGTAAATGCCGCATCAGCATATTTAAAAAATGTGAACACAGTAGCTGTACATTTATGGCATAAGATTATCAGCACAATTTTTAATTGTTAAGTTATGAACAAGCTAAACGTAATGCAAGATTAACCCGCGTTTGTTAGTAGCAGTAGTATTTGCATATTCGTAGAGTATTAACCAGCTTAGTTAAATGATTATACTGTCAGAATAGATATATGTAAGACAGTTGAGAATAAGTAATGCTTGACAATTATAGGTTAACTACGTTAGTACCAGTGGGATGTGGTAACTTGCTTTCATGTTTCAGGGTTAGAATACGTAGAGGCTCTGACACATAAAGATTTATAACGCATGAGAACATTTATGTTAAAGTAGACCGCTGATCACTAGCTATGCATATTGGGTAAATCTGTAAACAGGTAGATCTAAGCTAATGAATATCATGAGTTATAGTTACAAATAACACCAAGATAGTCATGTTTATATATCGTATGGTCCTGTTAGGGAGTAGTGTTCAGAGTAGTGAGAGAGATGGGAAAACATGACTGGTATAATGTTTGCTTTAGCACGACTGTATGATAGGTACATGTTAAGTAAGTCAGTGCCCTCGTTGGTGTTGTTTAAAGATTCCCTGTTACCCGGGGGAGGAGGGGAAGATTTCGAGTGGCTTTACCTAAGTGGCTATAACGTGCCCTTGGTTGCCAGCACTAGTGTGAGTTCTGTCATAAAATGTCGGCATTAAAATTTTAAACTTTTAAACATATATACATCATAACTGGTTCGTGAGTCCAGGGGGTGCAGCGGGTGATGCTGTTTAAAGTACACTGGTCTGGATACTAGGTAGCTTCAAGACTGCGTCAGGCGTTGGTTACCGCGGTGATCGCTGTTTCGGCTCTTCTAGGGACGAATGGGGTCGCTGTTGCGGGATTCCAAGCGGTGCTGTGTGCCAGCGTGGTTCTATTCTCCGGTGGAGGATGAGCGAGTGGGGAAAGTCCCAGGGTCGGTAGCAGTTCATTTGCCTCCTGTAAGTCCTGGATGGTAGAGGTCGCATTCCCGTGGTGGATTAACAGTGTGCGCGAACCTCTCCAGTGGTAGGTGATTTTATGTTGGCGTAGGAGGGCTGTAAAGGGTTGAAGTGTGCGTCTCCACGCCAGCGTGGGCCCCGATAAGTCCGCGTAAAAAGATAGCTGCATATTTTCAAACGGGTACGGTGATTGGTTCCGCATAGCCTGCATTACCGCCACCTTGTCTCCGTGATTTTGGAAGCAAGCCAGGAGGTCTCGTGGGGCCTTTGGCGGGGCCTTGGCTGCTCGTGGTAGGCGAAATACATTTTCGATGGGTACCTGTCTGGCTTGCTTGTGAGGTAGAAGTGACTGCATTAGTCTCCGCAATGTATGTGGGAGTTCAGACTCCGGTATCTCCTCTCCTATGCCTCGGATTTTTATGTTCCGGCAGCGACTCCGATCCTCTAAGGCTGCTATACGCTGCTCGTATGTGGATTGCTGTATTTTGATCTCCTGGACCGTTTGTTGTAGGGCTTGAGTGTGTTGTTTGGTGCACTGGGAGTCTGCCTCCAGTGTGCCCAGCCGGCCCGTTAGGCCTTGTAGGTCCTTGCGTAGTTGGGCCATGTCGGCCTGTATGGTTAGTCGGAGATCTGCTAGGAGGTCTTTCATGACAGCAACTGTCACTGGTGAGGAGTCTGCTTGCGGGGGTGACTTGCGAGGTGGTATTTCCTCATGCGGGTGTTCCATCTCAGTCTCTGTGGTGAAATCATCAGAGATATCCGAGCCGTAGTCGTTGTAAGCGGCCATGTTGGGGCCTTGGGCGCTAAGCGCCTGCTTCCACATGTCGCCAATGCTGTGGTGCTGCCGCGGGTTGTCGGGCTTAGATTTTTTAGTTTTGCGGCCCATATCGTTGGTAGATGCCTACAGGTCGTTTTGGTACCGGTTTCGTTGGGCTGGGTTCGTGTTAGCTGGTCCAAACTACTTTTTTGCAGCGGAGCTCGCTAGGCATGCAGCCATTCAGGTCAGTTGCTTGGCTCCGCCCCCCCTTCTTTATTTTTTAAATGCTATATTCTTGTGATGCAATTCTGAAACAAGATTACAAACATTCCTGCATTATTATTTCAAAACCTTATTGCAGAAGTCTGCCAAAGTTACATTTCTTTATTTAAATAAATTTATTTGTTCACATGCAGTTAAATTCCAAATAAATGTTTCCTGAGAGGTATTAAAATAATGATTGAGCCTCGAATGGAACCAGCAGAACTCGAAATTTAAATACTGTCACTTTCAACTGAGTAATTTGTGCCTTTGACAAAGGAAAACATTTTTTTTTTTTTTAAAAGGGAGACTGCTACTCTCACCCAAGCTTTACAAAGGCTACAAACTCAGGTTAAATTACCCAATCAATTCATGAACTGCATGAGAAACTAAACAATTTACAAGGCCAAATTGATACTTCCTAAAAAATAGTAATATACTGTCGCTCTATATAAAACCTAATTATCACACGTTCTATAACAATAATTATATAATAGCTGCTGTATCACCATGTGTAATCTTTCCTTATACACTAATCACAAACATATACATATAACAAAAGGTGAAGCGCTACATACAGATCGAAATCCAATTCTTTAGTTGTCACTCTTGTGAAACAGTATTTCCCTGAATCAATAGTATGTAAATATATTTCTGAAAGAGAAATTAAATACTCATAGTGCAACACTGTAAATCAAAATTATTACAATCGTAGCTCTATATAAGGAACCACTCACATATTACTGAGCTTACAGCCAAGCTCAGGGATACACGCCTTCAGGTCCGTCAAGGCGACCTTTCCCCTTCTTGTATCCAAAAAGCGAATCCCACGCTGTGGCTAGAGCTCAAGCAGAAGTATATATAGTGCAATATAGTCTGGAATCCGTATTGATGTAAACAATATATGTATATAAACTCACAAATATGGAGCCTCTCTCTTAGGCTCTTTTTCAGCGCGTTGTGTAGTTAAGGACTACACACCTATATAGCAGGAACCAATAGCCCAATAAAGATAATTCAAATATTTATTAAGGTATACTGAATTTAAAATTCTAATGGCCAATTAGAATATATAAAAACAAAGTGTATATAAAAAAAAAGTTATAACAGTAAGCTTGGCTGTAAGCTCAGTAATATGTGAGTGGTTCCTTATATAGAGCTACGATTGTAATAATTTTGATTTACAGTGTTGCACTATGAGTATTTAATTTCTCTTTCAGAAATATATTTACATACTATTGATTCAGGGAAATACTGTTTCACAAGAGTGACAACTAAAGAATTGGATTTCGATCTGTATGTAGCGCTTCACCTTTTGTTATATGTACAAATTGATACTTCCGTTTGCATACTTCATCATCACATTATGAACCTACAGGCTTTTCTCCTGCAAAATGTTCTGGGGATCGACACTTTTATAGAGAATTTATTCATGAGTGCAAATTAATGTTCGCCCTGCGCCCAAGGACTTATGTTAATGATGATGTTAAAATTAAAACCATAATTTCCCCTTTACAAGGAGATTTAGCAAAATGGGCGTATCAATTTATTGAAACTATGGATCCCTGTCTCTCTTCTCTAGACCTCTTCCTACAAGAGATGAATAAACTTTATGATGATGAAAACAAACAAGATACTGCAGTCCCAATTACATTCCCTCACACAAGGTCGGGGTAATGTTGAGGAATACATCTCACAATTCAGAAGGCTGGCGTGAGATACTTCATGGAACGAAGGTGCCCTAAAGTATCAGTACAGGATCGGTTTATCTGATTACCTGATACTCTTAAATAATTATTTAATATAACCATTAGGTTGGACCGCAGATTATGAGAAAGACGCAAAGAAAGGAACTCCTCAAATACCAGCAAAACTCCTACTTCCAACCACTGTCATTTTACAACTTACTCCTCCTCTTCAAAAGAGTGAACAATGGAAGTTACTTCTGTCAGAGGCCATATATTTACAAAAGAAAGACTCAGAAGAAGGAATCTTAATCTCTGCAGGTATTGTGCTTCAAAAGAACATCTATTGGACACTTGTCCTCTACTAAATGATTCTAAAAGAGGAAAATATGAATTGGTTACAACTTCGTAACCCTCACATTCAATGGTCACCTATCTTTGTCCAGCTCAATTCTAAATTCTGTAAAGAAAATTGTTATCCACACCTTCCTCTATTTTCAATTACTGAAGAAACTAAGATACCTGTACATTATAATGAATTCAAGGATGTCTTCAATAAAACAGAAGCGGAGTCCTTACCTCCCCACAGAGTATATGATAGTCCTATTGATCTTCTTCCTGGAGCTGCCATACCCTTTGGACCTATATATCCACTTTCTGAACCTGAGTTAAAAACTCTTAAAGAATATCTTGAAAAAAATCTACTCAAGTGATTCATCAGACCATCTACTTCCCCTGCTGCATCTGCTATATTGTTTGTTAAAAACAAGGATGATGGGGGGCGTGGCCTCACCGTCAATGGGACTAGACGCGTCTCACTAGAGCTCCGCTCAACTCGCGCCGAAAAGCTATCAGAAGCGACCTTACCTTTAACTTTTCCCCCCTGCTGGGACCCACAATATAGAGAAGAGACTCCCCAAGAAACAAATGAAGAGGGACACGGAGTCCGGAGGAACCGTCCTTGACCTCCTCACGGCTCAAAGGCCGAGCCGATCAGGGATCCAAGATGGCGACGGAGCGTCCCTGCAGGGCTCTCCTCGTGCTGCTGCAGAGGCCTCCCCTGCTGATCAGGACATAGTGCTGGCGAAACTTGCAAAAGTCAGAGCCTTTCTGGCTGGAGAAATCGCAAAATCAACACCAGTCCTGCAAGCCGATATCGGTGCTTTGGGGGAGCGCACAGCAAAATTGGAGGAATGTATGGAGGCAACATCACGGGCCCATAACGATGTAGTCGATCGAGTGAATCACAATGCACCTGGTGGATACAGAACTAGCCCTGGAAGACATGGAAAACCGCTCTTGGAGGAACAACCTCCGTTTAAGGGGCTTACCCCCTTAAAGAGGATCTGCAGGGGCTCCTGCTTACCATCTTCAAGCCTCTCCTTCCGAATCTACCGGAGGGCACACAGGGCCCTGAGAACGCAGAGATCTGACTCCAATGTCCCAAGAGATGTTGTAATTCGCTTCCTCCACTTCAAAACTAAGGAAGCGCTCATGAAAAAGGGCCGGGAGGGGCCCATCCGACATGCAGGCGTGTTACTATACCTCTACCAAGATCTGACTCCTTCCACACTACAACGAAGCCTCCTTGCATCACAAGAGCCTTGCGAGGAGCAGGCATCAAGTATGCCTGGGGATTCTCCTTCAAGTTACTCGTGTTTCGGGGAGATCGAGTACATACCCTGATACCAGGAGGAGTTCCTCTTCGTCTGTTCCAGAGCCTGGATGTCCAGCCACCCCCAGACCTTCCAAACGTGGTGATGTTCCCGGAGGAACTTTCACATCTGCAGCTCGAATGGCGCGAAGCTGGAGCTAGAGGCCATCGCTGACACTGGCGGGTATTGTAAGTCTTTATCACACCACAAAGAGCCCCGAATTCTGTTAGGGCTGGGGGGGGGGATCAGGAACCCTACATGTACTTTGGGTGGAAGGGGACCTGGTCAGGGGACCTTACACGCACACAATGTGAGACTGACTTCCCCCATATTCTCTTATCCACAATGAGAAGAGGCCTTACCGGGGTGCTGCCGGGTAAGGGGAGACCCCTCACCGACCACAGAGGTTCTGGTCATGCTGTTTAGGAGGAGGAAGGGGCGACATGGAAGGCACATAGCCGGTGATCAAATGGCAGAGTCCACTGTACATTATATCGGAACTCCCTCAACTTATCTAACTAGGAGGACATAGGACTGTTTTTTATTACTTGTTTTGCTTTTCTGCTTCAATATGTGGTTGCACCCCCCCTCTCCCCCTGAACGGGTTCGACAGCACGGTAGGGCCATAATGACCCCCTAATGGGCCATAAAGGACTCCCCATTGGAGTTGGACACTGCAGATATGGTCGATCTGGCCATGAACCCACTGGGACATTAACAGCTACTACACTTAGATTCCCTACTGAGTCATTATGGATATGTCAAAATAATGCATCATACTACCCCCGGGGAGCAAGTGTCATGAATGCTTGACTCTCCTCTCCCCCCCTTCCCATTCCCCCCTCCATCCTACCCTTCCCCCCACCCCTTCCCCCCCCCCCGTCCTTTCTTCCCTCCCCCCCCCTCCCCTCACAGGGCACAATATATGGCATTACTACCCCGGATACCATGATTTAATACAAAACGATGGATGGCTCAGATGGTTCTTTAGCATGCTACTACTCACCCGGTTTAGTCTGTTAATTTCTGCCAGGAGTATACCGATAGGGGTGCACAATGTATATTGTTAAAATGCAAGTTTAAATGTTTTTTCCCCTTCTCCAACCCAATCAAGCTCACGAGACGGCATACCAAGGTCACAGGGACGGGGTGGACAAGAACGGCTTCTCAAAGAGTTCATAGCTGACACTGGGATGATAGACATATGGCGAGCCCAACACCTGGCAGAGAAGGACTATTCATTTTATTCCTCCCCACATGGAACATACTCAAGGATCGACTTATTCCTGACCAACGGGATGGGAATGTCTCGGGTTGTCGGGTCGCTAGTAGGCAATATATCGTGGTCCGACCATGCCGACGTATCCATCATCCTGGGTAACCTCTGCTTGGCATCGCCGTGGACGTGGAGACTGAACACGTCCCTGTTACGGGACCCTGAAATAAAAGAGCAGATTCAGAAGGAGATTACAGAATATTTTGATACAAATAACACCCCGGAAGTAAGTGTGGGTACGGTGTGGGCGGCACATAAGGTCGTAGTGAGGGGGACCCTGATTAAATTGGCCACCAGAAAGAAAAAACTGAAACATCAACAGCTGGAAAACCTACTGGGACAGTTGAGATCCCTTGAGCAAAAACACCAAACTGCACCTCGGGGAGA